ATGATTTTACTACGTCGAAATATTTTAAAAAACGTCGTGAAAGATCTAAATCTGGAATCACAACTCTGTTTTCTGTGATTATAGAATAAGACGTCGGTGGTTAATTTTTTCCGTCGTTTTAATGTTATTACTACGTCGAAATGTTTTCAAAAACGTCGTGAAAGAGCTAAATCTGGAATCACAACTCTGTTTTATGTAATTACAGCATAAGACGTCGGTGGTTTATTTATTGCGTCGTTTTAAACAACTAACCACGTCGGTTTTAATTAACGTCGTTATAAATGTATTATAACGTCGATTTCTATATTGGTGCGTCGTGTGAAATTATATATTGCGTCGTTTGTTTTTAAATAACCGTCGTGTATTTTCTTGTTCTGACTTTTTTTTTGTCTTTGTTTTAGGATGAATTGCAAAAACAAGTGGCTGAAGGCAGTCTGAGTATAACTGGCAGTAATGATGTGTTGACCTTGGCTTTGGGTCCCGAGCATCCAGGGAGAGTAAGAGGGGTAGGTGCTGGGATTTCCCCTAAGCAATTCTTCAATTTACCTAGACCACAAAGGGTAAAGTTTGCTGATCAATTGAAGGAAAGTGTAAGAATTGTCCTTCAAGAAGAGACTAAGAAGATGGAAGCTAGAATAGAGGCTGAGAGGGAACATTTACTAAGTCAGCTTTCCCACCTCATCCCCAATTTTGATCCAAGCATGCTTAAACCGAAAACTAGCCCCTGTCAAAACCAAGGTCTACAGCAAAGTCCCATGAATCCAATGTCTGATAAAGCAAGCTGTTCTGGGGCTGAAGTGAGATCCCTACATTTAGAGGATGATACTGCCAGAAATGGGGAACAGCAGGAACAAACGGTAACATATCTGAACTTTGAATTCTCTGTTTTTTTTTAAAACATTAGACGTCGTTATTATTAATAAACCCGTCGTTTTAAAACCATACCACGACGATTTTATAAATAACCCGTCGTGTTTATTTAAATACCACGTCGTATTTAGTTTACTTGTTTGACACGCCATTAGACGTCGTACTTTGTGGCTTTTAGACGACGGTTTTTTTCCTTAACGACGTAATATAAAATTACCACGACGTTTATTATTTACCATCGTTTAATAATTTTAAGACGTCCATAATTCTTACATACCGTCTTATGTTATGCCTTACCACGACGTTTTGGTTTAATTTTTTTACTCTCTGTACAATCTGTCTTATATATATATATATTTCTTTATTATTTAAAACAGAAATCTGGGGCTTTAGATAATCAAGATGAAGAGAAGAAAGAAGAAAATAAAGATGAACAGAAGATGGGAGAAAAAAAAGATGAAGGGAAGAAGGAAGAAAAAAAAGAGAATAAAGATGAAGGCAAAGAGGAAGATACAAATGTTGAAGAGAAGAAAGAAGAAAAACAAGATGAAGAGCATGACGAGGAGGTATATTCTCATAACTTTGCCTTTTTAATTTGTTTTTCACATTTCAGACGTCGATATTTTTCTTTAAACCGTCGTTTGTTTTCACATTAGACGTCGGAATTTATTTTCTACGACGTAATAAATAATATAAAACGACGGTATTTAATTACCGTCGTTTAAATTATAATAAGACGACGTTTTTTAATTTAAACCGTCGTTTTTAATGAATTACCACGTCATTTTATTTTGCTTTATTTCTTTAAACAGGGTAATGAAGTAGTTGATTATTCGAATGTGGAGGTGCCATCTTCCTTACAATCCCTTTGTGGTTATGTGGAAACTACACTAAAGCCACAGGGGAAGATCATGACCTTCAACATTGAGAAGGAGGTGTTTGGTGCAGATCGAAGTACCTTCGTCTTGCATGAAGATATTACACAGTTTTCAGGCATGGAAGAAATTGGGGCTACTGTGGTTGCAGTATATATGAGGTTTGTCCTAATCAATATCATAAGACGTCGGTTGTTTAATTATTGAGTCGTTTTAAACCACTAACCACGTCGTTCTTTTTTACTGTCGTGATAAATTAGTTATCACGTCTGTTTCTATTTCAGTTCGTCGTGTTAAATTGTATAATACGTCGTTTGTGTATAAATAACCGTCGTTTGTTTTATATATTTAGGTGCTTATATGATCTTTTGAGAGAAGCAAATATGTGCAGCATGTTTGGCTTTATCGACCCTGCTCAAGTTAGTGCCAACGCTGGGTCACTAACTGACAGATCACGAATTGTAGCCAGTCGACTTCAGAAAACAGATGGTGAACAGATTTTCATGATGCCTTACAATCCAGGGTTAGTCTCCTTAAATGGATTTTGTTTGTATGATTTTCACTTATAAAACTGTTTAACTAATTCTGTGTCGTTTGAAACATCTAACCACGTCGGTTATTTATTTATTGAGTCGTTTGAAACAACTAACCACGTCGTTAGTTAATTCTCGTCGTGATAAATTTATAATGACGTCGATGATTAAGTTATTACGTCGTGTGAAACTATATAATACGTCGGTTTTTATAAATAACCGTCGTTTTTTATTTTATTTTTGTGCAGCCGTCATTGGGTCTTGCTGATTGTGAGGGCAAAGAGGGAAACCGTCTATTTTCTGGATCCTCTGCCTGGAAATCGTGTGGTTGATGAGGAGGGCAAAAACATTGTGAACAGTGCTTTAAAAATTTATAATTCCCACATAGGCAGACCAGGCCGTAAAGCACCTATTTGGAAAACTCTGCCAGGCACACCAAAGCAACCCAGCAGTGTCGAATGCGGGTATTATGTGATGCGCTTCATGAGGGACATCATCATGGATCCTTCCTTGGAGTTTGAGAAGAAGGTAAGAATAAAATTTTCAGAAACATTTTATGTGGTTTTTTGTATTATCAACGACGGTCATTTAAAATTACCGTCGTTGAATCGATAGACTACGTCGGTTATGAAAAAAAACGTCGTCTGTAAAGCTTAATAATCTTTGTTTATTGATTGCAGTTTGCCAAGGGAAAAGATCAAGCGCCATACCCCCAAGCAGCCATTGACGAAGTCAGGAAAGAATGGGCAGAGTTTGTTTGCCTTCATATGGATTAGAGGATTTTTGGAACACTTGATAATTTTTTATGTACTAATTTTGTCTATAATATATAATGTACAAATTTTGTCTATAATATACATCCTTTTTTTCCCTGACAATTTGCTGAGGTTTTCATATTATAAAAGAAAAAACAAATTGCGTAACCGACGTGTAATAACTTTCCAACGACATAATTATGTAAAAAACCGACGTAAAATGATATTTAGACAAGATGGGACGTACATGGGACGTCGTTTTGATGAAAATTTCGCCATGGTTTCGTTTTTAAACGACGTCCTTTTGAACAAGTAAGTCGTTCATTAGGGTTTAGGGTAATACCTTTTAACGACGGTGATTAGGTCGTGGAATATCTATTTTACGTCAGATAGTGAAACATCCGCCATGGTTTCTCTTTTAAACGACGTCCTTTTTACATGTGAGTCGTTTATTATTATTTACAACGTCACTGTTGTTGATATAAGAATATTTTATTATTTTTAATTCAAAATTTTAAAAATAAAATTAAAATAAATTCAAAAAATTCAACTTCAACTCCTATGAAGTCATTGATATATTTTCTTCCCCCTAAACCCCAAAAAAATGCAGTTTGTGTAATAAAAGTTTAAAATGACCAACCAAAATAAAATTGTTGTTATGTGTCATAGCATCACTTATATAGTTTGATGGTTTAGGGTTTAGGGTTTGGGGTTTAGGGTTGTTATTTATTAGGGTTTATGGTTAAAGTATAATTTTTGGGGTTTAGGGTTTATGCTTGTTATTTATTAGGATGTAAAACCATAAACAATTTTATAAAATTAAATTTTACAAATATATAATTTATGGTTTTAAAGTTTAGGGTATTACTTTTAACGACGGGGATTGAGTCGTGGAATATTGAGTTTACGTCGTATGGTGAAAAAATCCGACGTGGTTTCTGTTTTAAACGACGTTTTGTTTACCTTTTAGTCGTTTATTATTATTTACAACGTCGTTAGTTACTTAACCCGCCGTGGTTTTTCATAGTTTTAACGCCTTTTTTGATTTTGCGTGGCACATAGTTTTTACCACGACGTCCTGAATGTAATAAGCGTCATGTTTAATGTTAAATTTTAACGACGCTTGTTTTTTCGGTCGATGTTTTAAAAAGCGCGCTTTCTTAAAATATTCACGGGACCTAAAATTTTCAGATTTGGCTCTTATTTTTATACTTGTAACCCTGAACCCTAAAATTTTCTGATTTTGCGCAACATAACATTTCGCTCTCTCACTTCATCTCTAATTCAAAGTTGGGCCAGGCTGTGTCAAATCCAATTTGGTCATAATCTGTGAGCTCTGCCAACCTGTAAGTACAAACCCTTTCTTCCCCTTGTAAATTCATTGAATGATATATTACGTTGTTTTGTTAAAGGGTTTTAGGTATATGTTTTGCGATCTGTTAATAATGTTGTTGGAGGTATGGGTTCATGGATTGTCTGTTTAATGTTTTCTTGATCACTCTGTTATGTTGAATATGGAATGGATTTCATTTTGTCGGATCTTTTAATCACTCTCTGTTATGTTGAATTGGGAATGGATTTATTGTTTTCATGCTTAGTATATGTTGGTTTCATGTATATGTTGGTTTCTTGCTTGGTTTCATGTCTATAACGTTGTGTTCTTAATAGGGTTTTGGGATCTTGAAAATAAACTGGATAACGACGCGTTTTCAGGCATACGACGATGGTTTTTACTTTAAACCGTCGTTTTTATTACTTATACACGACGGTGTTATTTAACTACCGTCGTGGTTATAATTAGACGACGTAAATTCCGTCGTCTATATATGTCAAAGACGTCTGTTTTTGTTTAAAAACCGTCGTCTCTGTTGTATATTACTTGCTATTAGACTTTATATAATCTGCTATAGTGATGGTCATTGCTTGTCTTTTCACTTTATTATATATAATAGGGTATAGTGTCGGAGATGGATAAGTCATGGATGCACTCGGATAGAAGATCGAAGGCATATGAGTTAGGGGTGGAAGCATTTTTGAACTTTTCTGTAGAAAATCTTCTAACTACCACACATATCCGTTGTCCATGTGTTAAATGTGTTAATTTGAAATTGTTTGGGGTTGGAATTATAAGGGATCACTTATACTTTAATGGAGTTGACCAAAGCTATAAGAATTGGACATTTCACGGAGAACCTTGGGAAGCAGCTACTAATGCTAGTAGAAATGTTGAAGAAGATGATGACCATAGTAGGTACAGTTTTGTGTCTGAAGAAATAGAGATGGATGATAATGATTTTGGTGATTTTGGATCTGATCCTTATGAGTTTGCCAATGTGATTGGGGATGGAGATCAACCATTGTACCCTGGTTGTAGAAAGTACACGAAGTTATCGGCATTAGTGAAGTTGTATAATTTGAAGGCAAAATATGGGATGAGTGATGTCTGTTTTACAGAATTATTGATACTTCAAGGCGATTTGCTTCCAGAAGGAAATACAATACCGGCCTCTATGTATGAGGCAAAAAAAGACTTTGTGTGCATTGGGGCTGAGTTATGAGAAAATGCACGCATGCCCCAATGATTGCATCTTGTATAGGAAGGAGTATGAGGATTTAACTCATTGTCCTAATTGTGGTATCTCAAGGTGGAAGGAAGGCAAAGATTCAATCTTGAAAGAGGGTGTGCCAGCGAAGGTGGTGTGGTATTTCCTCCAATTCCAAGGTTTAAAAGGATGTTTCGATCACATGAGACCGCTAAGAGTTTGACTTGGCATGCTGCTAGAAAATCAATTGACGGTTATATGTCTCATCCAGCGGATTCCCCGTCTTGGAAACTTCTTGATGATAAATGGCCCGAGTTTGGTAATGAGCCAAGAAACTTGAGATTGGCTCTTTCATCTGATGGATTCAATCCCCACAGTTCTCTAAGTAGCAGATATAGTTGTTGGCCAGTTATCTTAGTTACATATAATCTCCCTCCATGGCTGTGCATGAAACGAAAGTTCATGATGTTGACCTTATTGATTTCCGGTCCTAAACAACCGGGAAATGATATAGACGTCTACTTGGAGCCTTTGATTGATGATTTAAAATCTTTGTGGGATGGGATTGGAGGAGTGTATGATGCACATAATGGAGAATACTTTACACTCAGAGCTGCATTAATGTGGACAATTAATGATTTCCCCGCCTATGGAAACTTATCTGGTTGTGTTGTTAAAGGATATAAAGCTTGTCCAATATGCGGCGATGATACACCTAGTCACAGGTTGAAAAATGGCCACAAAATTTGTTACATTGGGCATAGAAAATGGTTACCGATCAATCATCCATATAGGAGGCAACGTGCAGCTTTTAATGGGAAACCTGAATATGGCACGCCTCCTGAGCCATTAACCGGAGAAGAAGTGCTGCATATGGTTGAAGATGGTGACAGAGTTTGTTGGAAGAAGAAATCAATATTCTTTGATCTCGAGTATTGGAAATACCTTCCTGTGAGGCATGTCCTAGATGTTATGCACATTGAGAAGAATGTTTGCGATAGTATCATTGGTACATTGGTACATTGCTGGAGATCCCTGGAAAAAATAAAGATGGGATTGCTGCTCGATTAGATTTATTGAACATGGGGGTCAAAACTGATTTGCAACCCGAGTATGGAGAAAGACGTACTCGTTTGCCTCCCGGGCCTTGGAATTTGTCAAGAGCAGAGAAGAGAGAGGTTTGCAATTCTTTCTATGGTATGAAGGTCCCTGAAGGTTATTCTTCAAATATAAAAAATCTTGTCTCTTTACAAGATTCAAGACTTCTTGGCCTTAAATCACATGATTGTCATACCTTAATGCAACAATTGCTCCCTGTGGCAATTCGTTCTGTTTTGGAGAAGCCTGCAAGGTATGCAATAACTCGTTTGTGCTTCTTCTTCAATGCTATATGTGCAAAGACTGTTGATGTTTCCAAGCTAGATAAGTTGGAAGAAGATGTAGTAGTTACTTTGTGTTTGTTTGAGAAGTACTTTCCCCCTTCATTCTTTGATATCATGGTTCGTCTAGTAGTACATCTTGTCAGAGAAGTTCGTCTGTGTGGGCCAGTATATTTTAGATGGATGTATCCGTTTGAAAGATATATGAAAGTGCTAAAGGGGTATGTTCAGAATCGTACTCGTCCCGAAGGTTGCATTGCTGAGCGGTATATAGCTGAAGAAGCTGTAGAGTTTTGTACCGAGCATTTATCTGATGTTAGTACAGTTGGAGTGCCTTCAAGCCAAAAGATGGGAGTTTCAAAGCCATTATCAGGTTGCACAGTGAGCGTAGTTGATCGGGACCTGTTGAACCAAGCACATCTATATGTCTTGGAGAATACGGAGGAAGTCCTACCTTATATCGAGTACGTATGAGTTTTATTCTTTAAGTTTCCATTTTAAATTATTTCTTATGTTTATCTTATATGTTTGGGACCGTAATACTTGAATTTTGTGTGTCATGTAGGCAACATATGATCCACATCCAGACCGCTTATCCAAAATTTAGAAAGAGAACAAAGTGGCTGCAGGATAAGCACAATAGCACTTTCATTCAATGGCTACGCTTGAAGGTATATGTTATTGAATAACATATTGGACTTTTAATTTTCTTCTTTCTATGTTAGATTGAATTAAGTTATGATTAATTTGCAGGTTCAAAGTGAACTTAATGAGGACAATCATGGCGTATCAGAAAATTTAAGGTGGCTAGCAGCTGGTCCAAACATGGCAGTGCCATTATATAGGAGCTATCTCATTAAAGGTATTAAATTCAACATCAAGGCACAAGATGATGTGCGGACAACTCAAAATAGTGGAGTTTATTTACTTGCACATACTATGCAAGTTGCTAGTGCCAAGGATAAAAACCCAATTCTCTCAAATATGGGTTTCTATGGTGTCATTCAAGAAATTTGGGACCTTGACTACCAAAAGTTTACAATCCCAGTCTTTAGGTGTGATTGGATTGATAATACTTCTGGTCTTGTAGTGGACGAACTTGGATTTACCCTTGTAGATTTGAGTAAAATTGGACATAGGAATGACCAATTTGTTTTGGCTTCTCAAGTCAAACAAGTATTTTTTGTTGACGACCCGATGCATCGTGGTTGGTCGGTAGTGTTATCAATGCCTAATAGAGAATATAATGATGTTATTGGTGATGATGTCTTAGGTGATGTGAGAATTGAGTGTGAGCCATTTACTAGGGGGATGCCAAATGTTGACACATTTGATGAAGTGGTGGTTGAGTTAGGGAGTCAAAATATTCGAGATGGGTGTGAAGATATATGGGTTGAATGATGCTTTATGTAATTGGCAGTGTATGACATTAATTTTGTAATATATTGTAATGTGATTTCTTCACTTTCATTCATTATACAGGTTTTGGCCACAAAACAATCAGTACAAAAATTACTGGTTCCAGATTACAAACACGACGGTTTTGATAAAGAACCGCCATGTAATTCAACATAACACGTCTCCAATCCCATAACACCGACGTCTAAAAGACGAGAACTTTAACCTAAACGTTACAAAAGACGACGTCGTCATGAATTTACCACGTCGCATGTTCTTTCATAAACGAAGTGGAAAAGGATGAATTCACGACGGTATTTGAAATCCATTAAATTTGTCGACGTTAAGATTTATGAATTAGACGACGTTAATTTTTTTAATGAAGACGTATAAATTATTAAACACGACGGTCTTTTTCATGGTACCGACGTTGTATATAAACGACAACGTCGTCCTCATAAATTACTGTGTCGTAATTAATGACCCCATCATTTTTTCCACGTCGTTTATTTTCAAAATATGACGTATAAATTCTGTAATACGGCTCTCATTTATTTGGAACCGACGTTGTTTATTCATTTCAACGTCGTCTCAGTAAATACATACGTCGTAATTAATGAACCTGACATCTATTTCAACGTCATAATTCGTAGAAAAATCGAAGTGGAAAATTTATTTTACGACGGTATTTGAAGTCCATTAAACTTGTCGACGTTAAGATATATGCATTAGACGACGTCAATTTTTTAAATGAAGACGTACAAATTATTAAACACGACGTTCTTTTTCATGGTACCGACGTTGTACATAGAGGACAACGTCGTCCTTATAAATTACTGTGTCGTAATTAATGACCCCATCATTTTTTCCACGTCGTTTATTTTCAAAATATGACGTATAAATTCTGTAATACGGCTCTCATTTATTTGAAACCGACGTTATTTATCCAATTCAACGTCGTCTCTGTAAATACATGCGTCGTAAGTAATGACCCTGACATCTATTTCCACGTCATAATTCATAGAAAAATCGAAGTGGAAAATTTATTTTACGACGGTTGTGGGAATTGTTGTGACGTAGTAGGTGTCAATAACGTCGTCTATTATTATTGTAAAGACGTCGTATTTATATTTGTCATCTGTTTCCTTTTTAACGACGTTTTTTTTGTTGGAGTTTGTCGTCTATTCTCATCCTCGACTGTTTTTTATGTCTTTTTGCAGCACAAAGACGTCGGTTTTTAATTTTTGATGACGTTTTTTGTTTTAACAACGACGGTTATTCACCGTCGTGGTTTGGTTATGGAAAAGATGTCGGTGGATTCCACGACCATTTGAAAACCGAAAACACGACGGTGAATTCCCGTCGTGTTTTTCCTTTTTTGTAGTAGTGAGAGAGAGAGAGAGAGAGAGAGAGAGAGAGAGAGAGAGAGAGAGAGAGAGAGAGAGAGAGAGAGATGATGAAATTCTTGGAAGAGATATAGGGCTTAGCTTGTATTTTCTTAAATTGGAGCAATGCTTTGGAATTGAGGTAGGGATTTCTTGGTGACCTTTTACAAAGATTGATCTGATTAAATTTCGTGAGCACTATATTATGCATGATATTCTTATTTAATTATTATTTATATTGGGTGCTTAAGTATTGTTAATTATCATTATATTATTTTATTAATATTGACATGATCAAATGTTATCGGTGATTGTTGGAATTCTTGAGTTGATAAAAAAAGTATGGAAAAAAGGGTAATGGAAATAGTCTTTTGTGTAGTTGAGTTTAACTCTTGGCAGGTACCAGGTCTCAGGGATCTCACAGTGCACATGGTTTTTATTGGGTGATTCGGGACTAGCGAAAGGGAGTTAGACAAGATGACTAACAAAATGGGAATTATGGGACAATTGAGATGGGTGTTTGTTCATATAAATGGGCATTTGGGACCAAGTGGTATAAGCATGGTATGGGACGCGCAGGTATGCTTGTCCAGTTATATGAATTAACGGGAGTAGATGAAGAGCATTCATGCATTATTATTATTAATGTGATATTTTGCAGTGATTGTATGTCACTTAATTTAGTTATATCAATCTACTGAGGTAAGTTCTTATGTCCTTATTGAGCTGTGGTTGCTCACACCTCACCCTGTTTAATTTTTCAGATGAATTAGTGAGCAAGAAAAGGAATAAACCAGTTGATGCTGAATTAGATGAGAGTGATAGAACTTTATTTATTTCCTGTAAAGTTGTAATTTTGAGCTATTTTTATAAGAAAAGTTTATTTTATGTTTCCGCTTCTTTTTATTTTATTTTACTTTTTATTTTCTCACGCACCGGGCGTCGGGTTTCCACCGACTCTCGGGTCTGGGGTGTGACAGTGTGATAGTCTCTAGAGACTCTAAATTAATATAATCAATGGGAAGGGGGTTCAAACTCTTTCTTTTCTTTTCTTTTTTTTTTTTTTTTTTTTTTTTTTTGATAATAGTGATAGTAATTATTATACAAATTTATAAATAAACCCAATCCTAGACATGTATTTATAAAAAAACCCAAGCACTATTTAAACATAGAAACACACCCAAAATCAACTCCAAAATCAACAATTGTATATTTTTTGGGTGTGTTTATAAATGGGTTTTGAGTGTGTGTAATGATGGGTTTTGGGTGTGTTTATAAAGTGTTTTGGGTGTTGGGTTTTTTTATAATTTCAGCCCCCATTTTGGGTGTTTTAGTGAAACTCCCTAATTATTAATGAAACATAAGAAAGTACAAAGCAGCCATAGTACCGAATATGGGTACAATGTGTCCAAGGAGCAAATACAACAACATGTACATTTGATGTAGAGAGAATTACACCTTAAGCAAAAGACACTTAAATTCCTGATTCAACAGTCAAAAGTACTTGCACTCAAGCTTACAATACATATTCGACCAAATAGACAAATCTTTTTTCTTTCTTTTTTTTTATATTTCGACGCGTATGAAAATAATTTTTAGAAATTGGCCTTTGGTACTCTTTCCTGGGTTGATCGAAGAGCTGCTAACATAAATGCGAAGGCAGGATTCAAAATAAAATAATCGTCACAGCAGAAACAGTAAATCCGTATCCAAAATCGCAACTAAAATACAAAACACAGCAAACTCCTAAAGAGTTTTTGAGAATTATTAGACTAAAATAAACAAATAAACAGGATCACAGCTCCACATCCTCTACGGCAACTGAAGAGACTCATAATGCCATACCCGCTAAACCCTTAGGCCATCTCCAACCCAAATGAGGCTAAACCAAAATTTTTCCCATTCAAAATATAACTATTCATGTATTGTCCTGACTCAAACAGTTTTTTCTCTAACTATGTAGACTCAAAATTTGAGTCCGCAACTTTGTTAAATTGTTTAATAATGATTAATCCAAAAAAAAAAAATTTGTCATTATTTTTTCTTATGTGAATTTTGTTTATAACATCATGATTTATTTTTCTAAACATTCTAATCTAAAAATATTCAAATTTTGAAAAAAATAAATTTAATTCATAAATATAAAAGGAAACCACACAAATTATGAACAAATAAGTGGATATTTATATACTTTAGGATGAGATTTGGGTTAGATTAATTAATATTAATATTTTGACCGTTTAATTTCATTTTGGATTGTTGGATTTTGTTTTAAAGTTAGATTTAGTCAGGGGGGAAAAAAAACCATGGCCGTTTGATGAGAGGTGGCGGCTAATTCTTGCCGTTGGATTTCAAACGCCAGAACATCACCTCTGTCAAAAACAAAACACGTGGGTTGAAATGACACAAGTGGCGGGCCCCGCTTCAAGTTTGAAAAATAACTCAAAGGTCCAACATTATCTCTCCTCACGTGGGCTGCCTTTTGTTCTTTCCGTGAGCTCCACTCTTTACAGTCCAGGCAAAACATCAGGCGGAATACAGCCCAATTTAGTCCATCCATTCCATTGGTATTTAGCCCCTTGCAATATACAAAAATGTTATAAGGGGGAGTTTAGAGTGAGAAGCATATTTGAGGAGTTCAATCTCTCCATCAACAAATGTGAAGAAACCAATGAACTTAAACATTTTAAATGGTTTGATGGTGGGATTGAACTCCTCAAATAAGCTCCTCACTCTAAACTCTTCATTGTAAAAGCTCCCTGCAATACATAGGTTGGGGATGAATTTGGGGCTAAAAATAAAAAATTTGGCTTTTAGCCCATTGGGTTGGAGATGGCATTAGTGCCATACCGGCTAAACCCCAACCCACGCAATACAACAACTTTCATTTTTGTAACTCCAAAATCTAAACTAGAGTCAAATTCGTGTATATATGGGTCAAAACAACAACTATATCATGAAGACAATGGTGTTTCGCGGTGGTTGCTAAACCCATCGACGTCGACGTTGCTGCCTCCTCCTTGACCACCAAGACCCTGCACAATAAAAAAAAACAAAACAAAACCAACTAACAAATCCTATATCCTAACGGATCTAGTCATAAGAAAGGGGCAGTAAGAGCCACCACAGGAACGTGGAGGGAGAAAGAGGGGGGTTGAAAGGGAAGGATAAAGAGGGGAAAGAAGAAGGGGATGAGGGAAGATGAGAAAAGGGGAGGAGGGGCAGTGCCCACTAGAGGGCTTGAGGTTATCAAAAAGAGAGAGAGAGAGAGAGAGAGAGAGAGGAGAGAGAGAGAGGAGAGAGAGAGAGAGAGAGAGGAGAGAGAGCGAGAGAGAGAGAGAGAGAGAGAGAGAGAGAGAGAGCTTTTTTGGGTTTCAGGGGATTCAAACTTTTAGTGCAAAAGGAGCGAGCTCATTGTCTTGGCCAACTAGCTTAACCCATATTTGCTTTAATACTTTCTTTTAGGGAAAACCACAAATATTTGATAGAATGTATTCAAAATTTTCATATTTTCTATTAACTTACATTTTTGATAATTTATCGCTATCAATATTTCCATTTATATTCATACCAAAAAAAAAATTTCCATTTTTGCTTTCGTGTTTTTGGAACCTCGAT